GACGGAGATATAGAGCAACACACGCGAACTCACGGCAATCGGGAGAATCCACCGCAGCGACGCGGTGGACGCGCGCGCGTCCCGAATAACTCCACTCCCACGCGAAGTAGCGAAGAGCGGCTTCCTATATCGTGTGCGCGCTTCAATGACGAGGAAGCCGTAAAAATTTCAGAACAGTCGGTCCAAAATTCGAATTTTTAGAGCGATTTAGGAAACCACGCGATAATCGGGAAATCCACCGCAGCGGTGCGGTGGACGCGCGATCGGTGCGACTATCTCCGCTCCCGCGCGGATAAAAGGAAGAGGTCGCGCATAGCTCAAGTCGGACAAAGGACCCAACTTCGTCAGGGCAGGCAAGGCTGGAGGGTGGGTGCATGTGCATGGCAGGGTGCATGTTGAGTGCATGCCAGGTCGCCCAGTAGAAAAACCCATCTCTTTCCCCCCACCCTCACGGCCCATCTCTCTCTCTCTCTCTCTCTCTCTCACCCTCTCTCTCTCAGACACACAAACCACCAAACTCCCGCACACGCAGAACACTAACTTCTCTTCTCTCCTCATCTCTTCTCTCTGATTTCCGTTTTTGTTTTTTTTTTTTTGCATGCGGCATTTATATACTGCCAAACAGAATCAGGATTAAGGTCACTTTAGAATCGAGGTGATGGGGTACAGTGCATGGATTGTCAACCTACGTCCACCAGTGCACGCGGCTTCAGAGATGGAACCGTGGTGTGGTAGGTTCAAATCGGCCAGCAAGGCCATCCTGCTGGGACCAAGCACGGATGCTCGCAGCTCCGCCCCCCGTGGCCCCTGCTGGTAACGACGCTCCGGGCTGCACGCAGCCTGGAGGGTCGGCTAAGTGAGCTGCGTCCCGAAAGGGTAGGTCCAACTTGCTCTGTGATCCAAACGCTGAGAGCAGGGTTTTTCCAAGTCGCGCGCACCCCACCGAAGCGCGCGTTCTCCTGGCAAAGGTTCCCAGAAAGTAGAGAAACCAACATCTTCTTGCGGAAGCCGGTATAGAGCAGAAGCTCGAGGTATGGCGCCGGTCGATCGTCTGATCGAGCCTCACGAACCGCAAACAATATTTGTATCTCGGGGAAGTCCGGTGTCATATACTGCTGTCTGGCATTCACGGGTAGACCCAAGATTTACCTCGATTTAGATTTGTTGGCCCAGAAATTACAAATATAGCCTCGGATGATATGAATTGCCCATTTACCGGCGGCCCCTCAGGCTCGAACGGTTCAACTGACCAAGACTCCAAGAGTGCTAATTTAAGTGACGCTTACTCCTGTAGATACCTAATCTGTGAAAGATCCTTTAAAACCAAAAGAAGCAGAGGTGTACACGAACAACGTAAAAATAAAAACTTGCATGATGAAAGGCAAGTCGAGAACATCGAAAATAAAAAGGCACCATGGAATGCGGAGGAACAGGCGCTCCTGGAACGGCAGGAGGCGCATTTAGCCATGCAAAACACCAAATTTATCAAGCAGGCGTTGCAACCGATATTCCCACATTGGACGTTTGAATCCATCAAAGACCAAAGTAGGTATAAAAGTCATAAGAACAAGGTCCTGCGAGTAATACAAGAACTACCGGCAGAAAAAGAACACCTAGAGAGAAGACACTTAGTCCTAGTCCTCCTGTAAACAATAATATAATTCATTCCATCAAAGAACTATTTGAAGAGTGGGAACCACCTTGCGGAAGTACATTTAATGGTGAGTGTCTAGGTCGGATCTGTGAGGGCACATCCTCATGGTCGGAAAGCAAAATCTCCGAAGAACTGGAGATTTATCTTCTGAAAACCTTTCCTCTGACCCAAAAGAGAGAAAGGAAAGCCTCAAAACACCAGAACCAAAAAATCACGAAGGGGCAGGCTAGGTGTGTCGAATACGCTAAGACGCAAAGAGCATGGAACAAGAACCCATGCAACTGTCTCAAATTTATCCTGAAAAATAAAATAACGTCACAAACACCCGCCAAAAGAGACATGGTTCAATTCTGGAAAACAGTGATGACTGAGGGGGTCGTTACCTCTCCAGAAAACGAGCAGAGAAGACCCGAAATGTCGAAGACCTATGAGATCCTGTGGCTCCGGACGAAATTAAGAACTCATACCCGAAACTAACAACAGGTCCGGGCCCAGATGGGCTAACAGCCAGACAACTCAGAGCTGTGCTGCTGGATATTCTAACTAGAATATTTAACTTATTTTTAATCTGTGGTAAACTGCCGAAACACCTCCTAAGGGCAAAAACTACCCTGATACCGAAAAAGGATGGTGCGCAGCTTCCGGAGGACTACAGGCCCATTACGGTCCAGTCGGTTCTGACCAGAACCTTCCACAAAATATTGGCAAGACGATTACTAAAGAGGGTCCCGCTCGACGAGGGACAAAAAAGCTTTCCTCCCTATGGACGGGTGCGCAGAAAATATTTTCGGCCTGGACATAATCCTGAAGTACCACAGACAAAATTTCAAATCGCTATATATGGCGTCCATTGACATCGCGAAAGCGTTCGACTTCGTGTCTCACAATACCATCAGAGATACACTATATATTATGAGACTACCGAAATCCATGGTTCGATATGTCATGGACACGTATGAAAGGAGCTCAACCATCTTCACGTGCGATGGCTGGGAATCGGACGGAATTAAACCGACCGGCGGAGTCAGACTGGGTGACCCCCTGTCTCCTTTAATTTTTAACATGATTATCGATAGACTCCTTAAACGATTACCACCGGAAGACGGAGTGAATATTGGAAGACCCTACTATAATGCACTCATCTTCGCAGATGATATGGTATTCGTGGCGTCAACACTAAAGTGCCTCCAAATGATTATCGGCACCGCGTCCGAATTCCTGCACAGTGTGGACTTTTTATCAACGCCACAAAGTCCTTCACGGTGGCGGTCAGAAACGTGCAGCACAAAAAGAAATCTGTGGTCGATGGAAAAACCCAATTCTACTGCCGCGGAAAGGCACTTCCCGCTCTCAAAAGAGATGACGAGTGGCGATACCTTGGCGTCCCATTCACACCAGAGGGACTAACGAGAATCGATCCAATTCAACAACTAAAACAAGCAGTAAACAGGCTCACGAGGGCACCGCTGAAGCCTCAGCAAAGATTATTTGCTCTGAGAGTAATTGTTTTGCCTGGGCTGTACCATCTGCTCACAGTTGGCAATACGACGCTGAGTAGGCTGAAGCGAGTGGATACAGCGGTGAGGGATACGATGAGGAAATGGCTTTGCCTCCCTCACGCCGTGCCTAATGCATATGTCCACGCAAATATCAGTGATGGCGGGCTGTCAATCCCGTCGATGAGGTGGTTGATGCCCCTCCATAGAAGGGTGAGGCTGCAACAACTTATAAAGGTTAACCGGTCAATCGCCCCTTATCTCACTCAGGAAGTACAAAAGACTGTAAGGAGGTTAACGGAATGACGCACTGATTATGATTCTGCTCGAAAGATCGAAGAAAGGTGGAAAAGTTTGCTCCCCTCGTCAGTGGACGAAATGGGCCTCAAAGAGTCAAGAAAAATCTCACAGCAACACCAGTGGGTGATTGAGGGAATTCGTTTCTTGACAGGACGAGACTATATTAACCCCATAAAGCTGCGAATAAACGCCTTGCTGACCAGGTCTAGGACGTCGCGTCGGTGTCGAGCGTCAAGAGCTTGCAGAGCAGGATGCAACGCTACCGAAACACTGAATCATGTATTGCAACAGTGTCATTGGACGCACAGAGCAAGAATTGAAAGACACAATGCCGTGGTGGCATTCGTGAAAAAAAACTCTAGAAAAGAAGTGTGAAAAGGTTGAGGAAGAGCCTCATTTTACATCGGACCTAGGTTTAAGGAAACCTGATCTCATTGCAATACATGAAGCGAAGGCTCTTGTGTCGCCCTGTGTGCGAATGACATCAAAAGTAGATACGGAATAACGAACGTATCCTAAATAACTGCCACACTCTCATACCGCGGAATATGGAGTGTAAATTCATCCAGCCAGCTAATGGAAAAAGGAATCCTCAAGAGAAAGGAGTTAAAGATCATCTCAACTCGAGCACTAATTGGAGAATTGAACAGCTTCTGGAGGTTCAACAGGACGACCACAGTGAGAAATAACACCGCTCAGAAAACAGGACTGGGGTGAGCGAGAAGAGATGCTCCAGAATGAACATGGTGCTGCCTGCCGCACTCTGAGTCACACTGTTCCCACTCATAGAATAATTTTGAAAAAATACCATTGGATTGCTTGAATTTTAACCTGTAAAATAAGCTTATCGAAATAATAGAGAAATTTTGGGAACATGGGATAAAAAAATAAAGTTTACCATGATGCACGTCGTTTGGCGTCGCGCAGGCATCTGTTCGCCTGTTTGTGGTGTCTGCGTGACGTAAACTTAACTTTTTTTCGAGTGCTTGAAAATATCATACCGGTCAATTATCTACTGCTCATCTGTTTACCGACTGCTCGGACGAGACCCGATCGTCATCTATTGTTCATAGAAGAGTAAGAGCGATAGCCTTATTCTATCCCTATTGGCTGACTATAAGGGAAGACCTAAGAGTAACTGCGACAGACTTATTCTATCCCTATTGCCTTACTAACAGCGAGCTGTCGCAAGTTCCCCTACATCTCCCACTTTCAGGCCCTGTGTAACGTCAGAGGCTGCACTTTAGGTTTGTCGGCAGTACTTGTTTTATAAAAGGATTATACTAAATGCTGGTATCGCTGCTGCATGGTATTATAAAGATGAACTTCACTTACCAATAACTTCGCACTTTTCGAATTGCAACAATGGGACAATTATAAAGAAGAATAATAACAATACAAGAAAAAATTGATACTTCGCGGAAGTAACTGCTGTGATACATGGCAAACAGCGCTCCTATCTAAATAAACGAGAAAAAAAAGCATTAAACGAGAATAATGGAGCAATTGTTATGAGCTTTAGTAGTAGTTAGTAGTATTAGTCTACAGACCTACAGAAACCATTGGATAACTTTTTTCGTTCTAGCATTTGTAATTGGGCCAAACCAATAACAAATTATGAAACTGATGAAAGATGTAAGTAGAATATACAATGTGATCCATTCTCTATACTCTACTGTAATTATATGTGCATGGGCCCACAATGCTTGAATAATATAAACACTCATTGTCCAACTAGTGGCGACCATCCGGTACATTATTTTACCCTTGAATTGTGTACATTGCGCACATTCACCAAAATATAATTGCTACGTCGCGTTGCACATGTCAACGAAACGACGAAAAAGTGTAGTACATAAAAATATCATTTACCCATCGCAATAATTTTGTAAGATAATATACTATAGATGTTCCACAGAAATAATAAAAAATTCGACTTTCACTTAATTTAGGAGCGTTCCAATAGATGATGGTGCCCATAATCATTGATATTAATGAGTAAACATCGATACCTATTTGTACAAGAACACAATGCACTTTTACTATTGTGCATTCACACTATCAAATATTTCATTTTTTTATTGCACTCACGTGTTTCTGTTATGCTCATTGAGTGTTTGTGTAAATTCGACGGATATGCATATATACCGATGCAAACTTCTTCAAATGGATTAATTTTGAACTTGTTACTCTTGTTTGTACCAAATAAATTAAAAAGTCAATACCTCTGATTCTCGTGCTTTTCCATTACTTCTTGAGAAGTTTTCTCATTATAAAGATCATAGTTTTCTATATTTGTACTTAAGTGTATCTACAATTTCATCGAAAGTACGTGCCAATGTAATATTTCAGAAATGCATCTATGCGTATCAATATCAAACTGTTATTTCTTACGGTTAAACTTTTCCACATATACATAAAAGTTTTGGTATTGCCATTGTGGCAAAATATTTTCAAGACTGGTTCATTATTTTGAAAGACAACTCCTGGCTTTAAAAAAAGGACTGGAACGAGATCAGATAAAGAAAATCACAGATACAATATGAAGATGTTACTTAGACATTTCTGAAATATTAGTTTTTCTTTTCTTTCTTATGGAAATCTAATGTAAATTATATACAGTCGTGTACTTATTGTAGCATTACGGCAATATTAAAAGACATGAAATGTAAATGTTTCTTTGTATAAAAAAACAAGGAATGGAATTGTAAAGTTCGCAGAACAACATATTATAAATGTACGGACCTTGTAACACTATTGCTGCATAAAAATCACTATTTCTTCCCATTGTCTCTTTATAACTTCTGAGAATATTTCAACCGGCATTTTTACAAATATTAATTATATCTCCCGCATCACTGGCGGGAGATCACCTATCTGTCGTCTCCCCGCTTTCCTGCTTGATCGTGAAGTTTGCTTCTTCGTGCGTGGCTTGTGACTGTGTGGATTCGTATTCTGTATTGGTATCGGACTGGAATTAACGTTGACGACTTGGCGCGTTTTACGGACGATTCTAACTTTACAAACAAATATGAATAGTTTACATAAGGGTATGAAGTTTACGGTGCAGGGGGCTTCGGATCCCCCAGTACCCGCCGGTAAGGGTGGCGAGCGGTCAGGCTACACCGGGGTCATCCGACTACTGTTCAGCGCAGACGGCTGGAAACCAGGCCGCTGCGCAGGTTACTGCGACTGGATTAAAAATACATGGAGGCTTCGAAATCTTTAAGAGAAGGCCGCGGATTCAGTGACTAAAATCCCTTCGGTACGATTGGAAATACAGGTCACACAAGGTTCCTTCCAAGGATTTTCTACTATCACTTATACCAGAGCCGCTTAACTTCTTGCTCACGAGCAAATTTCCCCTCCCGAGGTTCCACCACTATGCGACTGAGATGATCTCGCTTGAGTTGCGGCACGGCGGGAGGAGGTCGCGAAGAGTCCTCCCACCATAACTCCAGCGACTGCCGTTGGTTTATGTTACATATTTTGCGTGTTCGTACCGCATAGTGGGGAAACCTTGGGAGGGGAAATTTGCTCGTGAGCAAGAAGTTAAGCGGCTCGGATTTATACGCAAACACAATTTTTTCACAGATCTTTTGAAAAGAATAGAAAATCTTTGGTAAATATCGTTGTTTGTTCTTGCGGTTGTTACTCTAATTACTCCATCTATCCCAAGGTGAACCTCTATTACTCGTCCAAGGGACAATCACAAAGAAGATAGAGTTTCATCCCTATTAATGACCAGGTCGTTTAACTGCATACTGCTGGTTCCGTTTCCACTTGCTATGTAGGCTCAGTTCGTTAATATATTCCTTGTGCTGTTTCACCTCTTGGATGTGCTGCCACATCATTCGGTACGACGATGATGTCGCTTTCAGGTATAAAAGTCAATGACCCATCGATGAGGAAACGCGTGGAGGTTAAGGCTTGCAGTTCATTAGGATGCGAAGAAAAGGAAATTAAAGGACTTGAATGTAGGATTCTTTCAATTTCATTCACGTATGTATTAATATGTTCAAAAGTAAAAAGCGTGTTACCTATTGTGAGTAACAGATGGTGTTTAAATGTGTTAACAGCGGCTTCCCACAAGTCGACAAATGCGGTGATTTTCTTGGTGAGAAATGTCAACTTATCAAATGGTCATTTAAACAATGATTCACCTTACGATGATGGTGTTCGACTGTCAGCAAGTCCATTAATTCCACGATTTTGCTTTTTACTCCTACAAAATTTGTACCATTATCACTATAAATATTTTTTATCCTTCTGCGTTTTATAAAAAAAACTTTTCAAACACGCAATAAATGCTTCGGAAGTCATATCCAAAAGTACCTTTAAATGAATTATTGCTTCACTAGAGGAACAAATAATTAATCTCTAAAATAATAAATCTTCACACATTTATAGTTTCGGAAGAGTTTTTCTTTAACAAAAAATAGATCGCAATAGTCCACGCCTACATTTTCCAAGGGTCTAGTGGTTAATAAACAATTTCTAGACAAGTCACCCATTATGTAATTTGGCGGACCTGCCGGCTTTACTTTCAAGCACTGAAAGCACTTGTGAACGATCAACCCAGTTATGTTTTTCCCAGTTATGTTTTTCCCAATATTTTTGGCTAACCGCATTCAAGGTACCCTGGAATGTGCAGCTTGCACCAATATTATCTATTTGTTGTGGGTTTGAGTTGACGTATGTGTCCAAGGATGGGATACATTGGTCAATTAATCAGCAGTATTTGTCGCAGTCTGCGTATTCCAATTTTCATCACGGTAATGACTCACAGCGGCTGGTGGTGTGTTTTATGCGTATTTCTATTAGAGTGGGACAGTGGTAATTGCCGTGCAATTCGGGTATTGCTGCATATTTACACTTGAGTACAGTATTTTCACAAGTCGATTGTGCCGAAAGTGTCACGGCTACACTGAAGTGTGTTGGTTCATGATCGTTAAGGAGTATTATCTCTTGCGTACAGATGTAGTCTCCTGTTAATACAAACAACTTCTGTAATTTTCCGAAAATGCTATTTAGTTCAATTTCATCTAGTTGGAGGCTGTTTCAGATGTACTTATATGTTTATATGGTACTATTTTAGTTGATATTACTTCCATATTGGATGTAATTAGAATCTATTCGCCGTGTAGTGAATTCTTGAATAGTGTGGCTGTTCCTCCGCTTGTAAATTGGGAATTTCGATTAGTGTCGCAGTGTTTAAGTTTAATTATTTGTTATAGTTTAAAGGCGAACACTTAGAGACATACAATGTCAGGTTGGTGTTGACCGAGTAATATTTTTAAGTGAGGTAATTGGGCGAAAAAGCCACTGTGTAATTGTATATGTTGTCATTTAAGTTAGTTTCATAAATTTGTAAGAGAATTAATCTCAAAGATACAGGGTTGGTGGTAGGTACTTCTCTGTACTCATTATCTGATTCACAGTCTGTTGAATCTGGCGTGGTGTTGAGTGATGTGTTGCCTATTGCTGTCATTAGCGTGAATGGTAAATTATTTTTTAGTTTTTTTCTATTCTACGGATTCTGTTTTTTATGCTTCTTCTATTTAGGTGGGGGTAGATTTCAATTAGCATTTTGATTAAGACGGTTATATCTTGGATATAGTTTTGGGTTATTTCTCTGGAGTTATCAACTCGAAATGTGTTTTCCAGGATGCTGGCCAGTTGTGTCCTGTTCAACGGGAAATTTGATTGCATGTCATTTATAATGGTTTTCACTGGTTCAATCAAGAAGTCCATGTTTTCGGCTGGGTTCAGTAACATTTTTGTGGATTTGCTTGTTTTTTCCCTTCCTTCTGTTTCCTGTGTTTGGATCGCTGGTTTGTTGTGTGGTTTCTGATTGTAGTTCCGTGATGGTGGAGGGACGGGGGCACTTTTAGGTTTGGTGAAATTGTCCGAGCTGTTGACTTTATTTGGTTCTGGGTTGGTGATAGTTATATCTATAACTGTTCTATCGATGCAAACTGAGTATTGTCGTAGTTTACTGTCAAGGATTCCGAAATTTTTACTATTGTACATCCTGTGGGCTTACGTACAGCTGTGTCCTGAAACTCAGGACGTGACTTAAGTCAGGAACTTGATCGCTGCTCTTAGATAGGTCAGTTTCGTGTTAATTTCAATGTTGTTTTCTGTAAAGTTTTTTCAATGTATTCGTTTGGAATACATGGAGACACGTTGAAAATTTTTTTGAACGGGGAGAGTAGTGGTCTTATTAGAGCACTGATGTTCATGATGATAATTGAGGCGTATTTGAACAGGAATTGGTCAGTGGTCTGTCTAGGTATAAGCACATGCGGTCGTTGGATATTCAGGAGATAAAGCGAATCGCCTGCTTCCCAGTTAGTTTGTCAACAGCACTGGCATAGTCGATTATGGTTACGGTTACGTTTTCTACCTTTCGAATGCCAATGTGTAACAATGTATTGTGTTATTTGTTACATAGTCGAATATTAGCTGATCGGCACTAAAAAGCCAAATGATCAGGCCTAAAATAACTGGAACAGAACTTGGCATTTTTTACCTATTGGAATCTACCTCGCGGTTCGAGTCCTAAGAATTTCTCACGGCGTTGTAGTAAATGTTTCTTTCTGGCAAACCACACAATGCACCATTGCCTCGACGCTGATTAATATTTGACGTGGTTGATTCATACGCCTAAAATATTGAGACTTGTAATCTCTTTAATTATCGGAAATATTGTTGTTGATTAATTGGAATGTTTCTGCGTCCCGAGAGAATTTACGCCAAACTTCCAATATGTCTTGAATGCGGGTGTTTTTGTCTACTTTCGCGGTAAGAATGTAAATTAGCATTTCGTGCCAATCGACCGATTTAAGGAATCGTAGTGCATGACATGCATCTAGACTTTGTCCGCCAAAATACATAATGCAGCTGTATTGTTTATTGTTAACTTCCAGAAGTTGAAAAAGTTCATGTAAGTGCGCTTGTACGATCTTCCAGGGACTTTTATATCTGTTTTACAACAAATCCCATACTATGAAATAACTCTCCTCCGCAGCATTTAGTACGTCAATGACCGAGGAAACATCACCACGTAAACATGATTTTAGTAAGTGAAATTTGTGGACTGTTGACAATAAATCATTTTCATGAATGAAGTTGCGAGGTGTAACATAAAAACTGCTTCATTCCGAATAATTAAGATTCTCTAAAGATTCTATTTCTAATTGGAAGTTCCCAAAACACTGGTAAAGGGTCTAGCAGAATACCAATTGAAAACCGATTTTTTAAAGGTATTCCGCGCAAAAAAGTAACTTCTACTTTCAATTTTTATATTTTCTTTGTTCAGTGTGTATATTACGCAATCTTACACATTTTTACATTTCTATAACATTTCCCATATAAAGAAATATGGGTAACTTACATTAGTTAAGTTAATTTAACTTCTTTAATTTATATATTGTTCTTTGAAGTGTAAAAATGTTTCAAATTATGTAATAGACACACTGACAAAGAAAATATAAAAATTCAAAGTAGAAGTTACTTTTTTGCGCGAAGAACCTTTAAAAAATCGGTTTTCAATATTTTTAACTACGGCGAACTTTACCTAAAAATCTGAAAAAAATTGGGGATAACAGTCACGATGAGAAGTTGTTACTACGTAAATATGAAAGTAGCCGCTTCAATATTTGAGCCGTTTAATGCAAAAGTGGTAGAAGTCAATTTTTAGCCTTTTTGAGTTAACACCATATCTCGAAAGCCTAACCTTCCTTCTGTTTTGTACAAAAGTGGTGTAAGAATATCTTCATTAGTTTCTCGTTGGATGGCAAAGTAAGTAAGAACCACCCACTCGATTGGCATGCACGCTAGATGCAAGAATGGTGCAAGTTAGTCTTGGGTGTGAGATAAATGACATTGGACTTCTGGATTTCGAAGAAGAAGTTAACCATGAATAAGAGCTTAACGTTGTCGCTATCCACAAAGTTTCTATGTCATGCTCATCATTATTTTTCGACTTAAATTCATGACAAGGTAAACCATATTTCACACATTTTATTCATTTTCTTTAAATAATTTGTTGGGAAATTAATAAAGCAGTAGAAACGTAATGTCTATCTCAACAAACAGATCCCTCTTTTATTACATCTAATAATAAATACCTTCCCAGTTTACACAAACATGGTGTAAGTCAGCAGAATGTTGAATAAAATGATTATATATACATTTGATAATCGGTGCAAAATGGCATTATTTGCTTAAGGGAGTGTTCTAGTCTAGAGTGTCATTTTTAGTCATTCTTGGGGATTTTTTTGTAAGCAAAGTATAAGTTTCTTAGTATCGGCATTTTGTATACATATTTATTCATGTTTTAAGAAAGTTCACAATTTTTTTCAAGTGAAAATAAACAAAACTGTCTGAATTATATATCATTCAGTGCGGTCCCTTTAAAAAAAAGTGTCCTACTGGCTGACACGATTCCGCCTATTCTGTTTATCCAAAATGAAAAAATCAAAAGGATTCTTGATTAGTACGACTGTGACTATGGTGTAAAGTAGAATGTAAAAAATAGTGAAAATTTACAAAATTACGGCACTTTGAATTTTGAATACCGATTTCTTCGACTTCTTTTCGTCTTTCAGAGGCTCTAAAAATTAGAAAAATATATATTTTCGCATAATTCTGATTCAGACCATAACGACACATCCACTGAAGGTGCATGTAAAATTTGGAGTCAATCGGACAACTAGAACTTGAGATATCATGGCAGACATTTAGAAAAACATGGTTTCGAGAAAAACGCGTTTGAAGTTTCTCATACCAGTTACATGAGAATGGTATACTTACGACTACGGGCTACGTGTCATCTTCTTCAACCATCTATAACTGCGTCAATTTTACGAATTCGGAAAAATCCTTCGACAGTTATGCAAATGTCTACTTTCAGAAAATGAAAAAAAAATCGATTTTTTTGAAAAGTTTAGACTAGAATACCCCCTTAAGCTGTAACTATACAGTGGCTTACATAAAAGCGATTTAACATTCATTCATATTTCTGAATTTAACAGAACTTTTACTTTATCCCTCATTATCTAGAAATCGCATTTTTTTACTTACACTACTTTCGCGATAAACGGCTCATTTAAAAAAATATCCGTTCTTGTTTATGTTTTTCACTTTTAACAATTAGGATTTGCAACGAAAAAATCGAAAAAAATTCCCTAATATGTGCTTTCATGTACGGAATGTGCCAGATTTTTTTCAAAATTTTTGCATACCTTTAAGTAGGGAAAATAGTACACAGAATTATGAACATAAAATACCCTAACCACACCTAGGTCGAGCGAGAGGATTAAAAGTTGATGTAAAATGTTTTCTTTCGGTGAGTTTTCGAATGGTAGGTATATTGTACAATCTAATTGGTTCAAGGGTACTTGTGGCCATCTTATCCTGCTAGACGATTTCTTCTAATTTTTTTTGCCGCTGATCTAACATTCCTAAATCCATGCTATCAGTAATCGCGAGTATTGTACATTACATTGTGAAGCCGCGTTAATTGGGCCTTGTAGGAAACATATTGTCTTATGAAATTCTTGATAATTTCGGCCATTGTGATTGTAACTGAAAGTGCGAACGAAAGGAAATTAAGAATAGAAAGGACGTGAGTCAATCTCTTACGTGAAAGCGACCATTGTCTTCAGAAGGTGTTGATGACACGAACCAAGGGTTCTCATTTGTCTGTCTTTTCTTGTCAATAGTTGTTACCTCCTTTGCAATTCCGTTCTTTGTTGTATTGGGTAGTCGATGCAGAAATGGCAGATGATTCCCTTTGTTTAGTCGTCCTATTAGATTTACGGCGTTTTCCAGGCACGGGTCTGGAAATTATTCAGTCCTTCGCAGCAGTTGTAGATTTCGGAGGCCATCGAGCACTTTAACGTTTATTTAGAAGTACGATTG